ATATATATATTAAAATAAAAAATATGTTCGGATAATAAAAGTTGCTTACTTGCTTCGTGTTTAAAATTGAAGCTGTTTTGTTAGAAGGACAACATGTTATGCATCAATCTATTTGAATGATGCTTGCTTACTTACTGTTTAGTAACAACTTTCAATTTGTTCAAAGAATTTTTTAAAGAATTTTTTTCACTGCTAATATTATTAAACGGCATTTTACAATGTGTTGTTAATAAATATTAAATGAAGTAACCAAGTTATTTTGCTTACCTTGAAAGTAAAAAATAAAATTGATATTAGTAATTTTTGATAATGGGTAAAAACGCTCTCCAAAAAAGGTCGGCAAGCTAAATTAAAACGAAGCAAAAAATTATTATAAACTATTATGTTCATAAAAGGTGTGCAAAATTCAAAAAGACACACACACACATACATACACATACACACGTACAAGGACAAACAGACTTGTCAAGTATTGTGCAAAGAGAGGTTTGAAAGAAGTGGAAAAAACATTGAAAATTAAGACGAGAAAAGGCTGCAATGAGAAGCGCATCCAATTGATGTCAGAATAATTCAATATTTAATTCTATTCTCAAGAAGATAACAATATAACAGCAAAGGACATAAAGCATTCTTTTTTGAAGGGCAGAAAAGCACCGCTTGAGAAAAAATACCAATTTCTTCATCCTTCAACAGTATACCATCATAATTTAATACATCTGATAACTTTTTATTAAGTTATATTTTCCACTCATTTTATTTTCAGATTTTGTTTACGATTTTTGATAAAAATTAATTGAACTATTTGGGATGAACTGAGTGAACAATGTATTATTACGTATATTTCAGTAACAACAAATATAGAAATGGTTAAAAAGCAAAACAAATGTAACAAACTGAAGAAATAATGAATAATATTTTTGTCTACAATATATCATTTTTAGCCATTTAGCATTATCAATTTATTACTGAATAAAATAACGAATAATGTATGATCGATGAGACTGCAATAAAAAGTATTTTCTCAGTGAAATGTTTTGTTTGTCGAATTCTTTCTGAATAGTGCATTTTGGTAAGAAAAGTGGATATAAGTTATTGAATACTGTATATAAAGTATTCTGAGTAATTTTTAACTTTAGAAAATACGTGCAGAAGTTAGGGTTATAATGACAATTCAAGTAACTAATGATAATCAATAACATTAATAATCACAGGATTAAAACCCTTTATTATCATTGCTAGTACACTACAGCAGATTTGTATTGCAACAATTTATCTGCGCATTTATCTGTAAAAGGAAAATTTATCGCTAGAACAAAACGATTTGATAATGATCATAAGTAAAAAATCCAAGTTAAACCACTGTTTTTGCCACTATCTTGTAGATAAATATTAAATTTAAACATCGTAATGAAGATAGTTGGTAAAAAATTTACTATCGAAACAATACAAATATTATTGGAATTGATAATTCGCTACAAAATTTTCGAATAATTTACAATAAAAATATAAGGACTATATGCCAACCAACTCTCTGCAATATTATTTCTATCTAGATCAAATATACAATAATCTATCAGTAAGCAAAAAATTTTGTCTACCAAATATAGGCAAAATTTTTGACAAGCATTTAACTAAAAAACGTATATACTTTTCTGCTTTGTCGATCATTTTTCTTTTGTCTCACAAAAAACTAATTCATTGCTTTTATGCATGAAGGTGAGCAAAATTGAAAAATTTATCCTCTGAATAATCAGAAAATCGTAGATTAATTCCATTGTAGAAACCAAGAAATTTATTGAATGTTTTATGAAAAGTTGCATTAATATTCATTTTGTTAAGCATTTCCCGTTTTAATCTTAAATTATCCAAGGTTACGAGACATGAACTTTCTTCGTAACTTTAGGCAATATATATACTTAATCCTATTAATTTCACGATTCTAACTAGGATTCTGTCCTTTTTTTAATTCGTTCAACTATCAATAAACTATCATTTTGAATTATGCTGAGAAAAAGAGTGATTATTGCTGTCAGAGTATTCTGAAAACCAAACAAGTGCAACAACAAAACAGTTCTTGCTATAAATTTGTCCATTAAAATTAAAATTTAGAGAATCAAAGAGAAAATTTTTCTAATGCACTACTGATAATCTGTGTTTCATCAGCTAAATCACATGATGCTTGTATTATATTGTCTTCAACCATAAGTGGAAGGAGATTAGTTTTTTTTTCTGATCACATAATGAGTAATATGGAAAATGCATTCCTCCATGTTGCTATCACGAACATTAACATGATCAGCAGTATTAAACCATGTTTCTCTTTTTGATAAAGTATTATTAATCATGAAATCATTCTAAGTTTAGACGGTTTTAATATATCAAATCGAGCGAAGAGGGCAAAATGAAGTATAGAAAAACAATAACCTGATCAGTGAATACAAGTATATCAGATAACGGTGTTGCCATATTTTCAGTTGATGTAGTAGTCATGGAAACATTGCAGAAAAAATTAACTGATTGAGCCAGTTTGAGCAAATCTGTTACTGTTACCGGTGTCGAAGCAAATAATAAATTATAGTGTTGAAAGGTAAAATAATCAAGACAATTAAGTGGTAATTGATTAGATAAGTGATCGGAATACAAGCAATGGTAATGATAAATCAATCGAGATAAAAATCATGCATAGGAATCCATTGATGATTGTATACAACTTTTTAAAATGGAGCGGTCAATTGAATCCGTGGTTTTTTGGCAGTTCTGAGATTCACAATCATCAGATAGTAAATCATAAAGTACTGGTGCCAAAGAACGGAGATAGTTTTGCTTGAGATCAACTCTGGATGGTACAGCTTGTGACCAAAATGCTAAATCGTTACTAGTATTATTGTTCTTACAGGTTGATACATTTGTTTCATATGGATGACATCTTATTGCACTACTTTCATCCATAATATGTGATTGTATTTTCTCGTTATAAACATTCTGATGATAGGATTGCTTACACTGCTCACTAGATATACAAGTATCTTTATCTTTATCAGTTATTTCCACGAGCTTCTGTTCATTGCTATTTACTGATAATAATGATGGTAATGAATCTTTTAATACTGTCGAGTCAGTATTCTGTTCTTGTGCTGGATTACAGTCAGAATTAAACACATTTCGGTAAAAATAGTTACTTCCAGTTCCCATTTCTAATGCAGTATTTAATGACAGCGTTCCGGAGGAATTGGAGATAGACATCGGTACATGAATAGGATTAACTGGAGTAGAAATACATCCAGTATGCACTGAAAATAGTTTAGAATAAGTAGTAATTGAAGGTATAGTATGTTCACTCAATACTAAATTAGTACTGCTATGTGGTTTTGTTTTCACTGAGCTACAGCTGGAGAATGCACTATCCGTCGAGTTACTTGTCATTGGCGCATCAGATGCAGCAGTTGTATACAAAAATTGATGATGATATTTTGATGAATTATCATTTATATTTGGTAAATTCATCGTATAAGTGTTACTGATTTCCTTTTCAGTATCAAGAGTAACTGTTGTAGGAGAAACATATATACGACGTTTTTTAATTGGAACTGTTCCTGGAAAAGATAAATGATACGAATTTAAGCGTTCACATTCAGCAGTACGTTGAGAAAGCTGATATGCAGCCGAAGCACTAATTACTGAAAATGCAGTAGTAAGTGAATCAGAATTAATGCTTTGTGTAGAACAACTAACATTATTAATGAAATCTTGATCATTTCGATCAACAGAATTTGCGTTCAGTTTCTGGTCAACATAATTTGATGTTATTGGTAATTTAAGCGTTGATGTCATCAATCGAGTTGCATCTTCTTCATTGTTTCCAACAATATTATCACTGTCACTTTTGTCCACAATAGTTGGCACTGTTGTCTTATCTCGTCCAGCATGATTATTATTATTACTATTATTATCATAGTTGTCGTTAGCAGTTGGCATAGTCGACTTTTGATTTCCTGTAATGTGTTGATGAGATGAGCTGGAAATCACTTCAGTTTGTTTTCCCATTGCTACTGTTGTTGCTGATAATGATGATGACGATGATGACAATGATGCCGTTGCTGATGCTGATGCTGATGCTACTGCTTTTGATGGCCATCTTACACCACAATTCAATTTCATTTTATCGCTTCTATTTGTTGTTGAGGGCGAATAAAGTACATTGGGCGGTGCGTTGTTAAAAGCGCTATTATCATCTTCAACTTCAACTTCTATTTCGTCCTCTTTCATCATCCTTACTGATGGAAATTTTTTATATTTTTTATTCTTCCTACTACAATCATCACTTCCATTATTGTCAACATCATCACAATTATTAATGCCAAAATTATTTTTACTACTGTCATTCATTAAATTTGAATTATTTGTACTGTCAAGTCCACAGAATGCATGCATTTGTAGCGAAAAATTTTCCGCATTTGTGGCAATATTGTCTTTAGTTTTTGTCAAATATGAAGAAATATTGCTATTTTGATTTGAAAAATCTGTACTTTTGTTGAGTAATGAGTGTTCTTTAACAGAACCATTAGAATGCAATGAATCTGAGATTTGATTGGATGAATTATATGTAATCGGTTGAGATGACTGAAACGTTGATTTGATTAACGAAACTGCAGGAATACAAAGTTGATCGTTGTAAATTTTAGCAAATTGACAAGAATTCGAATGCAACAGACTTATATCGGATTGAACTGTTGATTTCAGTTCATTCAGTTCGAAGCAGTTAGTATTGCTACCATTACCATGCTCACTCATGTCTAAACAATTTGTTAACATGACCGATGAATAAAACCAATCACTTGGTAAATGATTTTGGTTATCTGACTGTTCTTGTTTCTGTTGTTGCTGCTCACACATAAGGCGAATATCGAAATAATTTAAACAAATTTAGAAACAGGATTTAGATGGTAATCATATCTCTGCACAATTTCTATGCACAACCACTACTTAATATTAATTTGTCAACAATTGGGCACTGCAATCGTAATTTTCAGTTTATTTGTTTCCAGTCAAGAAACATGCTTGCATCTGAAATTTAAAAATATTAGAACAAATAACACATATTTTTGTCCATCATAATAATATAAAATTTAAAAAAAAACGATGTTAACAGCTACAAAGCTGTAAAATTTAAGGAAATTATCTCATATATGTGTAATAGTGAAGAAAAAAAAAAGAAAAGAAATTGAATACAAAGAGATTAGGTCAAGGATAAAAGTTAGCAGAAGTAGAAAAATGGAGAACGAAAAATATTTTTCAACATTTAAAGGGCAAAATATCGTTGTTTTTTCTTTTCATCCACGAACAACCTGAAATATGAAGTGACACATCATTTAAAAAATCAATAAGTGAAGTCATCAACAGCTCAAAAGCGATTTTCTCCTTTAATCCACATAAACTATGGATTCCCTCATCTGATGCAATATCGGTTGTGAAACTATTAATGAATGTTAAACTTTTGTGTAAGTAAAGACTTAGTTTACTACATGAGTTAAGCAACGAATATCACTGAATCAAACATAAGCAGCACTGTTCATTCCTATGTATCTCCCATATTTTAGGGGAGACTTTGCAATACTTGATAAATAGTCAAATATTTTGGAATGCAAATACAATGGCAGCAAGCAATTGTTATTAAAGGCAAGCAGCTCAAACAAGTTCAGTATAATTTTTTGCGCTAACAGAATACGTATTTGACTCTAACTTATTTTTTTCTTTACTAATTAATTATTTCCAAACAATAACTGGAAATTGCATATATTTCATTGATAAAAAGGATTTGATAATTAGTGCTGGCAATATTGATAGAATTAAGTATGAATAGTTGAAAACTGTAAGAACTGAAGAAGAAAAAAGTTTTGATAGAACGAGAAAATAATATTGAACTTATTTTAAAGTAAACTGAATCAATTTTTTGGTATTTTTTGTGGAACATTTTTTAGCTAATAAATAATAAAAGAAATACTTTCACTTAGTTGAGGTAAAAAAGTATGAAACTTTCTCGTTGCACAGTTGTATCACAGTTTATCTGCATAAAGCATGATAGAAAGTATAAAAAATAAACATTTTTAGAGATTAATTACATCTATCTTTTGCAATACGATAACAGCCAAAATAGTTATACTACTAAGCAGAATGAAATTGATAATTATCATTGCATGAGCATGAATGAATGATAAAGTTGAAAAGACAGTTATGCTGCAAACTAAAAAACCTGTTAAACTGATATGAAGAATCACTTCAATAGATTCAAAAGTGATTGAGAATTTATGCAGCAAAAAAAACTATTACTGGAAACACTGAACAAAGAAATGTTATAAAAGAAATCGAAATAAAAGTAAATAACTGATATTTTGCGTTTGCATATAGTTTTTTACTGTGATATTTACTGATCTATCATAATATACTTATAATCTTTAAAGAACTTCGACATTCACTATTTTCTCTTCATGATTGAATTTCACTACACAAATATTTTTATTTTTGTTATTTAAAATCAAAAATAAAATATAGTGCCTCATTTCTTTCAAATTTCTCGAATTCGAATACTTTTTAGCACACTATCAGTGATATTTTATTGTTTCAATTCTAAATTGTACCGACTGCCACAATAACTGCAGAATGTTCTTAATATTTTTTAAATAATTTTTTTAGATAATTAAAGGTTATTTTACTGAGAAATAACTAACTTTTCCACATTTGGTAATTCCTTATTAAGATTTGACAAAACCACTTTGTCAGTTAATTTTTATTTGTTGTTTACGTAGATATAATCATAAAATTCTGCTCTTGATTTCCTCTGTTTTTCGATATCATATATAATGATAACTGTGAGTTGAAGCTCATCAAATTTTGAGCAATCAAACTTTTTGTTACTGTCAAAGTCATTAAAATAAGTTTCTTCAGAAATTTTTTCACTTTTACAATTTCCTTTCTTGCAAAAACAAATTCTCTTCACTGGTTTAATACTATTCATTGTTTTGATATCCTAAAATTATTGGGGATAATTTTCTCAAGATCCCTGCACTATCACAGTTCTCAGATAACGAATGCCTAATTACGAAGTGGTTGAAAAATTTTAAAATAAATCTACATCATAAAATTTGAAAACATGTTTCAACTATTTTTATATGTAGAGTAGTTATTATCGACAAAAAATGAATGATAAGATTTATAGAGATATTTCAGCATTAACTTACGAGTAAGAAGTCAAATATGGGATAAAATACACTTTTTTAATTGTAAAATAAATATAGTTTAAATATTTTCAGAAAAGTTTTGAAATATATAAAATATATGACTGTAAATCACAGTCTTTCCTCAAAGTATATAATATCAAATTATCACTACAAACTTATAACGTTTTCACTTTGTATTAAAAGACAATGTGATTTTTGTAGAGTAAATAACTGAAATTTTTATTCTGCTTTAAATAAAGTTTCTTCAAATTGAATTGCAAAATTTTTAGCAGTTGAAAAACTATATCTATTTTATGGATGGCTGTATTTAAAATTGAAATTAACGAAGCATTAGGTTAAACTGCTCAGTAGTTATTTTTTGTCTGCAATTAATCTTACATCTATTGTAAATCTAAAGTTTTCTGATGTGCTCATTAAGAGAAGAGTAGATTTGTACTTGTAATTTTTCAACCCGTTATAGTTTATAAATATAAAGCGGTAATATTACATTTGATTCATCCTTTAATTGTTTTTATATGCTATAGAATGATAATAAATATATTTAGCTGTCTAACTCAAAAATTTTCAAAATTATTCACCTCGGGCTAAAAAAGTTTTGCATCTTATGTGCAGACAGTATGTGAATTATATATAAATATCTAAATTGTTATCAGTTTCAAATAAGAATTAACTTCAATTTTTCAAGGATTTTGATAAAATTTTTGAACAGCAATTACCGCCTAATTTTTTTGACATAATTTCTCCAAGAAGCTGCTGAAAAACTTTAATTATGAAGTGAAAGCACTACATTGATAAAAGAAATTGAAAACAATGAAATTGAAAATATTGAAACTAGACAATAAATTAAACTTGATAACATGATGCAATAATATCAATGTACTGATTATTTTTGTTAATTATGAATATAGTATGCAGTGACCTTATCGATATATTATTTCTAATAAAAATTACATAAAAATTACAGAGGAATGATAAAAATTAATTGGCAGATGTAAACTTCAAATAATTAATTTGTTTTCCATTTTATTTAGTTCCACAGAGAAAATAACTTTGATTACCTCTATTCTTCATAATCATTATAGTCAAAAAAAGTCAAATAACTTTTGTTATTCTTATTTATATATTTGCATTTAATATGTCTATACGACTATTTCAAATTCATGTTATTCAGCAAAAATAATGATATTACATGACTTAAAGCAAGCAATAATTTCTGTTTATGATAAACTAATGGACCTAAAAAGGCTTAAGCTTAGGCAAGATATCTTAATTCTGATCATTACATTCAAATTAATCATTACAGCCTTATAAAGTAATGTTTTCTGTCAAATATATTTGTAAACAAACATAAGTAATACTGGGAACAAAAAAATAAATTTTATATGAATAAGCAACTACTTTTTCCAACAACTCAATGAATATTAATTTGATGTTAATGAAACCTGCAAGTTTAATTAAATCTTCTGGTAAGAATAATTCAACAAAGCAATGACTGTTTTAGTTTGTAAAAGTATTTATCTGTGAGTATGAAAGTAGAGAAGTTGAAATAATTGTTTTGTCATTTATAATGGAAGAAAGAAAGTTGAAAATATTGATGACCAAACTAAATTCAATCCTTATGCGCCATTGTCTTTAAACTTCAATCAAAGATCTTTAATTGAGTTAAGAAGTCTAAAGTTTAAAATTTAAACTTTTTAAATTCACCAAATTGATCTTCCTTCCATTTTAATTATTGTAATCATGACAGTAACACATGATCACTATTTGCAGAATTGAATTTGTAGTAATTTGATCGCTTTCACTTAAGATAATTTGATTATATACATCTCAACATATTTTTCGGTTTTTGTCGCTGATTTGATCAAATTTAATTGCTCATGTTGAAAACTTATATTCTAATTTAAATTTCTTAATCATACAAATTTTGTGCCAAATTAGTATAATAATGTTCTGAAACATATTACTATTCAGATGAAGTATTATTGATCTACAGATTAAAAATAAAGCGAACGCATGACAAATCATATTTAGTGAAATTTATCGTTTATTTAATACAGGGATCATACTTTGGTAGTAAGCAAAACTACCATTTATCAGACAACTTTATTCAGCTTGAAAAAGAGGCTACAAAGTGTAATTAGCGCATTTCATGATCAAAGAAAGGGTAGTTATAATTCCGGATATTAGTATGAAGACATTTTTATTATCTTTCGTCAGATTTCTGTTCTTTATGACTCATTATTTACAGCACTTAATACTTCTACAAAAACAAAAATTTTTTTGAGAAAGCAATCTTGAATAACAATCATCGAGATGGGAGTACTTAAGTACAAAACATTACTTTTAATTAACCAGTTTAAAAAGACAAACACCAATACACATAAAAAGTAAAATAAAAACATGAAAATTGAAGAAAACGGAGTTTTCATTTTGAATTAATTCTCTATATCACTAATTCGATTATTAAATTACTGCTCAACAATCAAACTGAAATGCTGATTACCACATATTAGATACTTGATCAATTATCATTCTGAAACCTTAATTATCTATTTTTTAAGTTTTTTCTAGTCCATCTGTCATCCTGAAGTAATGAATTTGAGAAAACTAAAGAACCAAAATATATAATCAGCCATGCAAAGAATTTCTTTCATTCCA